GTTCCGACTAGCCTATGGGACCGAGGTAGTAATCTCGGTGGAGATTAGATAACCTTCCAGGAAAATTGAATTCCCCCTCGACGAGGAAATGAATGACGAGACACTAAGAGAGGAACTCGATTTGGTCGAAGATATTTGATCGGGGGTAGCCCTCTGCGAGGCCTCGTTAAAGCAAAAGATAACTCTACGGCACAACACCTAAGTCATAAAGCGAGAACTCAAAATCGACAACCTAGTCATGCGAAGAAATCATAAAGACTCTCGCGGGAGAAAACTCTCAGCAAACTGGGAAGGCCCCTGCCGCATCCGAGATAAAATGGAGAACAATGCCTATTACCTCGAAAACTTACACGAGGGAGAACTTGCTTGACCATGGAATGTTGAAACAATACTACAGTTAGGCCTAACAGTTGGCACACCTCAGTCGATGATGACGGGGTACGACGCAACTACGGAGGCGTGCTCGGGTACAAGCACAATGTCCCAAACTTTAAAAAAAAGAAGATAGGTTTCCATGCTTTGACGAGCAGATCCTGAGCCCGAAGGGGAAAACTCAACTGAGCTCCTCTATCGTTGTACCACTAAAGCAGAAAACCAGCCCATGATGGGAATGTCATGCAGCGGTGTTAAGATCTCGACCAAGATCTTAACACCATTATCAGTACGGAATCCAACTCAGTCCACTCGACGAGTTCCCTTCAATGTCGAGCAATAATGTTGTCGAGCAAGACCCCGAACACTTCATGAAAATAACTCAGCAATGAACATTTTGTTACAAGCAAGCGAAAAAAATACACGAACGTATGAGAAAGTAAACACGATTAACAGGAGTACGAGTAAAGTGAAATGAAATTAGATTAAAACGACCACAAAGGTCGATGTTTTCATAATATTACAAAGAAAGAGTAACGCCCAAGGGTTATAAAACACGACACGCAGGCTGGAACAAATACAACAAAGTATACAGATCAAACATCATGTTCCCCTCATTGGCGATTTGCTCCTCCTCCTCTTTGTCAATGCTGGGAGAGGAGATTATCTGACTGTCGGCCACCCTACAACTGACTAACTTGGGCTCTGCAGGTTTCTTAATCATTTCCCAAGTGTTATTATCATGAAGAGATTTCATCTCGTCATCCATGGTTTTTCGCCATTCATTCTTATTTCGAATACTCATAGCTTCTTTATAATCTCTAGGTTTTTCCTCAGGTACCTCACTTGCAGAGATTATGGAAAAAGCTATAAGATCTGCATCCAAGTCTCTAAGGTGGCTTGATGACTCTTCTCGACCTATCTCTCACCAGTATATAGTTATGGACAGTTTTCTCAATCTCTTCAGCATCTTGCTCTTCTTCTTCAACTTCATCTAGGTTATGCACTTCAGCATCACTATGCCCCACCTCAACAGGAATCTCTACTTGTTCCAGCTCCTCTTCAGAGATTTCTTCACTTCAACCAACGTCACCAGTTTTCTTGAACGCCATCTCTACTTCATCGAAAACTACACCACGACTTGTGATACACCTTTTGTGACATGGTTCTAGAAACCACAGCCTATAACCTTTGACTCCCTCAGGATATCCAAGGAACATGCATCTCAGAGCTCTAAGTTTGACCTTGTCTTGCCTAATGTGAGTATAGGCTAAATAACCAAATACTCTCAGTTTGTCGAGATCTGGTGGTTGACCCGACCAAACTTCTTTAGGTGTCTTCATTTCCAAGGCAGTCGAGGGACATCTATTTATCAGATAAGCTACTATCGAAATAGCCTCCGCCCAAAACAACTTCTTCAATCCATCACTAACCAACATGCATCTAACCCTTTCAAGGATTATTCGATTGAATCTCTCAGCTAAGCCATTTTGTTGAGGAGTACCTGCTACAGTTTTATGCCTTACAATCCCAGACTCAACACAGTAACTGTCGAAAGCTTCGTTGTAGAACTCAAGGCCATTGTCAGTTCTCAACCTCTTAAATTTTTCTTCCAGTTTGAGTTTCAACAAGAACCTTCCAACTTTTGAAATTCTCAAAAGTTTCATCCTTAGTCTTCTGAAAGAATACCCATAATTTTTTGGAATAGTCATCAACTATGGATAGAAAATACCTTACACCTGAATGTGAAGGATTCCTTGTAGACCCCCAAAGATCAACATGAATGTAATCAAGGGATCCATGTGTTTTTTGTTTACATTTGTTAAACTTTGTCCTACAGGATTTTCCAAATGCACTAGGTTTACGAAACTCCAAATTCTCGATTTTTTCACCACATAGAAGGTTTTGTTTCCCCAGTTTGACCAAGCCTCTTTTGCTAACATCGCCCAATCTTATGTGCCATAATTCTATCTTCGAAACAGGTTTCGTGGATGCAAAATCAGCTGAACCACTTACAACCTCAGCCTCAAGGGTATACAAGCCTTGTTTCTTCACGCCTCTTAAGACTTCCTTCGATCCCTTCATGACTTTCTTGCCCTCCCTTAAAGACATATCCTTTCTTGTTAAATTCACCAAGAGAAATCAGATTCCTCATAAGGTCAGGTACATACCTAACCCCAGTCAATAGCCTTATTGATTCATCATGGAGCTTGAATCTTACAGATCTAATACCTGCAATCTTGCAAGATTTATTGTTTCCCAACATAACTGATCCACCATCTTGATCACATAATTCTTCAAAGACGTTCTTGTTTGGAGTCATATACCAAGTAAATCCAGAATCCATAATCCACTCTTTGCAAGAGTTGCTGCTCGACACCACAAGGACATCAGATGATTTATAATCATCTTGCACAATAGCAGCATTTCCATTATCCTTACCTCCATGATTATTGAGGCGCTCATGGCACATCTTTCTTGTGTGAGCCTCCTTCTTACAGTGATAACACTTAATCCCAGAAATATCACTACCATAAGACTTCTGTTGAGTTTTATCTTTCTTCTTCTCAAACCTACCATCTCTCTTCGAAGATTTTCCTTTTACGGACACCCCTTCGCCAACTGATGATGATGGTTTCTGCTCCTTTCTTTCATTTAAATCCTTCAAATACAAGGCTGCTTGAACTTCTTCAAAGATCAGGGACTCTATTCCATACAAGAGGGTTTCTTTGAAGTGAGCATGTGACTTAGGTAAAGAACACAACAATAACAACGCTTGATCTTCATCATTGATGGTATCATCAATATTTTCAAGATCAAGAATCCAGCTGCTCCGTTAATGCTTTATCTTTATTCATCTTGAATGAATACAAAACCTACTTCAAGTACAAAAGATTCACCAAGGACTTTGTCATATACAATCCTTCGAGTTTCAGCCAAACACCAGCTGTCGTCGTCTCCTTCGAAACCTGCCTGAGAACCTTATCACCAAGACTCAAAACAATTTCACCATGGGATTTCTCGATCATCATTGTCTTTTCCTTCTTCGTCAATGCAACATTCATGGCATCTTCTCCGTTTAACGCTTCTAACAAACCCTGTTTAACAAGAAGGGCTCGCATATGAAGGTCGCGTGTTCGATCCATGGTCACCACACTAGTTTGTTGTGATCACAAATGATACCTTTCAACAAATAAAGGTTGAGAAATGGAGTTCTTGGGTGAACAATAAAAAACAGTTAGAACAAAGAGAGAAAGAAGAGAGGATAAAAAAAATAAAGAAGAAGGATTCTTGGGCAAACGGGTTTCTATTAACTTTCTCATATAGGTTTTACAAATGATTACAAGTGAATAACACAAACCTGAGTGATCTAGCCTATTGATACACTAACTAGTTAACTTACATTACAAGCTAACTAAACAAATGGATCCATAACACAAGACCCAATTGAATATAATAATTTGAAACTACATACTAGAGCTGAATTCAATACAGTACGTAAACACTTCGACCTCAACATGTAAACAATCTTCGATTTCATGCTTGTCTCCTGTTGAAACACATGAAAGTTATGCCTCAACAGAACTAGAGTTCGACCCAAAATCTCACACAAAGAAAAAAGTCATAAAAGTTCCGCACTAGCATTGGCAAATGTTTGCAACATACCGGTGTCTCAACTACCTCAACCTTGTGTGAAAGGGGATATGATCTCCATTTCAAAACCAGAAGATGAATACTTGATGGGCGTTGAAGCTTGTAAGCATAACTTACACATAAGAATCGTTTGGCCTAAAGGATCCACACCACTAATGGTAATTACCTTGAAGAACAAGTTATCGCCTCTTTGAAAAAAGTTGAACGTATGGGGAATTACCTCATTAGATAAAGAGTTTTACGAGTTTTCCTTCTCAACTCTCAAGGATGTGTGTAGATTTAGCTTAGTGGCATCTTGGAATTTGTAACCAGGTCACTTGTTGCTATTTGCGAGGACAAGAGATTTCAACCCTAACCTTCAAAAAAGAACTAATGCTCTGGTTTAGGTCAGATTTTATGGCTTAGCATAAGAGTATTGGAGATCGAAAATTCTTTTTTCATCACAAGTAGTATTGGCATTCCTATATGCATTTATTCAATAGCCATTAAACTAATGTTTGATAGAAATTTTGGCCATCATGCATAGGGTGAAATAAAAATCTCCCTAATATTTTATCTTTTTATATTATTAATTTGTATATGTCAGAATTTATCTAGAATTTATAATCTAGATAAATTCTAATCAATTTAAAACCTAAAAGAGTGCGTAGGATACACATCAGATACATATGAGACCACTTATAAATACTCTATCACATTGTTAATTTCTTCCTCACAAAAAATACATCTTTAATAATGGAAGATAATAGATTTCTACATTTCTCTCTCACCCAAAATTCCTCGATCATATTGGAACTCTCTCGGGAATTGAGAGAGGGTTCGTAGCCTCTAACACCACCATTACCACCACCAACAATGGTGGGATCCTCTCTCAAAATTCAAGAGAGGTTGTTATCAAAAAATCAAGGGGCAGACCAAAGGGCTAAAAAAAGCCAAAACCACCTGTTTATGTTAAGCAGAATCCTGAAACTCTCATGGAATCTATTCATATCGAGATCCCTTCAAGAAGAGATACTATAGAACCTCTCATCAAGTTAGCTTTGTCTCGTCAAACTCGACTCATTGTGTTGAGTGATTCAGGTCTTGTCTCGGAGGTTAACTTTCTCTACCCAGTAATATGTGCTTCTGGTATCCCCATCGAAAGAATGTTTCGTATGACATCTTTCTTTGGAACTTTTGTCGGTGCCAACACCGATCACTTTTCTGCACACTTTGCGAGCACGAGTTCACCAAATTCTCATTTCTCCATTTTCCTTTCCGGCAATGAAGGAAAAGTGTTTGGTGAAATTGTTGGTCGGAGGGTCATAGCTGCTAGTGCTGTTTTCAGTGTTGCCGCTCTTGTTAAGAATCCTACATTTGATAGGTTGGACATCAATGCTGATCGAAATCAACATTAGTCCAGCAATTCTACTAATCATTTTAGCTCGCTCGAAAATCTCATGCCTCCATGTGTTTTTTTTTAATAATTTTTATTTCGTTTCAATATTCAATAAAATGAGTTTAATTTCTTATTCTTATGTCTTAAATAAAGCGAGATTAACTATTAATTTTTTTACCACATTGCATGTGTCTACTTATTAATTTTGCTGATATTTTTTCTGATCAATGATTCGATTGATTGTATTGTCGAAGTTATAAACCTTGGTTGAAGTTACCAACTCCATTTTTTAAATTGGTGTTGTATATGTTTCTAGAACTTTGAGAATTGAGATTTACATTTTACAGTAGTGAGGAGATTTTAGTGATGACTAAAGCCTTATAGTTCGAGATAGACGAGACTAAAGGTTTTTTTTTTTCAATTCCATATTGTCATTTAAAAATGAATGTAAAATTTATTATTTTAAATATTTTTTTTTATAGAAAGATAAATATAATAATATAGAATTCAAAATTTTATATAAAATTAAACAATATTATTTATTTATTTATAACTTTAATACTTTAAAACATTTACCTGTGGTATATCTATGATTAATTCCCATAAAAAATATTTTATTTTTGAACTATATAAATAGAATTTCAATATATATATTATTTTTATAAAATAAATTTAAATTTAAAATTAGTTTAATTTATTTTTTTATCTTTTTTTTTTTGCATTTATATGCATTCTGTCTGTTTAAATATAAATTTTTTTAAGCTTTAGTTTATTATATAATATAATATTTTCAAATTCTATATAAATTAATGATATTATTACAAAGTATTTGGTCAATTTATCTTTGAAAAATATGAATATGGTTTATTTATTATGATATTAATAACTATATGAATGATAGGCAAAAATAATTTATTTTTGACTAATTTATTATAACAATTACTTTAATAATATTCTTAAATTTTGTTCAAACTTTATAAAATAAGAATATTTATTTATATAATAAACTTAATAAATTATATTAACCCAACTTATTAAAAAAAATTAGTCCATTATATATATATATATATATATATATATATATATATATATATATATATATATATATATATATATATATATATATATATATATATATATATATATATATATATATATATATATATATATATATATATATATATATATATATATATATATATATATATATATATATATATATATATATATATATATATATATATATATATATATATATATATATATATATATATATATATATATATATATATATATATATATATATATATATATATATATATATATATATATATATATATATATATATATATATATGACAAAATAATCTTTTTTCGTTCCTTAACTTTAGTTTGGGGTCCATGTTGGTCCCTTATCTTTAAAAAGTGACAAGTTGGTCCTTTAACTTTTAAAATGGTGTCACGTTTATCCTTCTGTGTGTTGTCGTTAGTCAAACTTTGAAAAAATTACCACGTTGTTCCAGATGGAGTTGCTGACATGGATATGAAGTGTCTTAGAAGAAGAAAAGCAATCCTAGCGTTTCCATTACCCACAATTACCCAGAAGAAGGCACGACAAGCTTGGAGATGTGTAATCATATCTTGGAGTCTTGGAGAATTCATTGACTCATTGAAGATGATTCAAGGTTTGCAGACGCGAAGATTCAAGACGCGAAGGATTGAGGGTTTTCTGATTTAGGGCTTACGGCTAATTAAGCTGCATTTTGGCCTCAGTATTCAACATGTTCATGAATATTCAGGTATGAATGAGTGTGTTTTGAGTTCTTAATTTATTTATGAAAAATGAATTGTTCTTCCTAATTCACATATTTGGGATATTCGCCGGTTCTATAATTTTTGGATATTTATAATGTATAATGATATGGGTTTATATTGTGATTTTCTCTCTGTAAGGTGAATGTTAGTGTAATGTAGATGTTAATTATGCCATCCTTTCATTGTTTACATTTTGGTATTAAACATTTCAACAGCGTTGATCAATTATGATTAATTTCTAGGTTTCAAATTACTGTTAAAAATGTATTTGAAATGAACATTGGATCAAGATCAGAGATCTAGTTGGTTTTCTCCAATGGTGTCAGACGCAGAAGCGTTTTGTTCAAATTCTGCTACGACATACACTTCGTACTAAATTGATTATCACATAACAAAAGCTATTTGTTAAAATTCATCTCAACTACAATGCTGTAGGGCCTTTATGGGCACTATCTGACATCATTGGTTTGATCTTAGACTAACTCGGTATGCTTTGAACAGATATTTTAAGAAAGAAAGGGTGATATAATGATTGTACATTTTAGAATTAGTTGTATGCATTTAACATCATAGGCACAGGGATACAGTTTCTGGTTAGCTTATAGTGAATGTGCATCCATTAGTTGGAAAGCAAGCTTTGCAATGCAAGTAATGTGGGGAGAAATAATTAACTCAATTTGGTTTCTATCTTGCTCAGAATGTTTTAGCTTAGCATACTTACAAAAATCAAGGTTTGATTCTCTAACCGAAAATGCTTAAATGAAGTTATTCCACAGCTTTTACACTGAAATCTCAATAATTTCATTTATTCTCAAAAATTGTCTTGAATAAATAGGCCCTTCATTCCTCAAACCACAACCTCCTTTCTCTTCACCAAAGAGCAAGTTTATCCATGCAGTTGTGCCTGCGCCTGCACCATCACCAGCATTTCGGTCAGGTCATCTAGATGGTTTAGATCCTTTTTTATTTATATCATTGTTTTAAATTTTATTCTTTCATTTCATTTACCTTTTCTGATACATATCACTTGACTATTTGTTAATCATCTGTGCATCAATCATCAGTTCCGTCTCTTCCACCTAAAATTTCACCTATAGGTTCATCATTGAACAAGATGAAGACTCCACCGCCAGCATATACATTAGTTCTTCCCCCTCCACCTCCTAATAAAGGTATTCTAAACTTAATCATGTATTTGTATTAGCTAAAAGGGTTATTTATGTTATAAAGTGAACTTATATAGTATGCTTGGTTTCATTAGGTATCTCTCTAGATTCATACTTTTGGATAATGCATGCATGCAGGTCTTCCACCATCTCCACCTTCAATTCCCTCGGGTGTTTCTAATGTAGATGATGGACCGAATCAAGGTCGTGACAACAATGGAATGATGATGAAACCTTTAGGAGTAGCTATACCAAAGAAAAAGAAAGAAGGGAGCAATGGAAGAATGGTTTTTATAATTGTGCTATCATCGGTTACTGTTTTTGTACTATTCATTTATCTGTTGAAATACAGTTCTTGTATTCATCAAAGGTGTTAAAGCTACAAATAGCTTAATGTCATCCTCTTCAAAACATTTAAGTAAGTCTAATTAGTGACTCGGCAAAAGCTTTATTCATAGTTTAGATACAATACAAAATAAAGATCTTGTTTTCTTTAAGCATCATAAAAATGGAATTTATATAATTTGGTTTGAATGTGGCAGGGGCTGCCGGGCCATTAAATCATGGGATCGTGTCAGGATTTGGATCACGTTCCTTCAGTTCGGGAACGATAGCATTTACAAGATCTGCCAAGAATTTTTCCTTGAATGACTTGGAGATAGCAACAAATAACTTTGACTCTTCTAGAATATTAGGAGAAGGTGGCTTTGGACTTATTTACAAAGGTGTTCTAAATGATGGGAGGGATGTAGCAGTAAAAGTTCTCAAAAGAGACGATCAGCGTGATGGGAACATGTGTATTTAGTTACCTAGAAAACTCTAGTTGTGGAATGTATTACAATGTTTATGTATTTGACTGTTGTTGTGGAACTTGTGTATCAGTTGTGTTAAAAGCTTAACCTAATTGTCATGAACAAGTTTATCTATTCTACTGTTGTTTTGGAACAAGTCTATTTTTTTGGAATGTATTACAAGTTTATGTATCATGCAGAATGGTAGCATATTTAAGAAATTTATGTTTAGGATAAGGTGTGAATGAGAACTCAATAAAATTGTCCCATATATAAATGAGTAGTGCTAGAAACACTAATTTTATGTTGAATCCATTTTTAAAATGGTGGAGCTTACATGAGTTTTATCTTAAGAAGAGAACCTTAAAATGTGCAGTCCTAACACTACTCGTGTCTAATTTCTTTTGTAAAATATTACATACAATTTCAAATTTGTGTAGAACAAGATATGAACTGATAACAACACAGGAACTTCACCTTTTAGATATCAAATTATCAATCCAACTTTGGTATTTGTAATATAAGTAATGAAACTTTGGTATTTGTAATATAAGTAATGAAACGCCAACGCCACCGACACTGGCAAAAATGTTCCTCGACAAATTGTGTTTTTAATTCAGTTGATACACATGCAAAATTAATGAACATGTTACTACAATTACATTTAGTGGCATATCATTCATAACAAGCAAGACCAATATAAAAAACCACACAAATTTCATTGATCATCTATGCATATCGGATCTTGCCTTGCAAACACACATTGAACTTCTATTCTGACTCTACTTAAGAATCTAACAGCTAATGGCAGATAGTAGAATTAAGTTGCATTCTCTGTCAAAAAGCGGGTGAACAGATACACTGCATCCTGCAAGTGACCGGAGCGTAGGTCTTCAGGAATGGGAGCACTGAAAGCAGTGTCAAAGCATTGTCCATACCAATTCAGTCATGGCATTTGTATGTCCCTAAAGTGAGTTTCTCATTAAATAAAATGAAATATAAATTCTAGCTCCTAACTCCCAGTTTTCAATTTCAGATTTATAGTCCTCCATGGAAGTTGCTATCCTCCATATCTCGGTGTGTTTAGTTGCTGAGTATATTAAAGAAGTTATAATTATGATGCACTATTGCACTTAAATGGAATTAAGAAAAATTCTAGCAATTATTTTCCAGCCATTGAAAAGTAAGATCAAGTAAAAATATGTAAAATTCTGAAGATGCATGGCAAAAGAGGGAGATTTTACAAGT